TTAAAAATTTTATATATAAAAAATTTTAAATTTTATAAAATTTTTAAAAAATTTTTTTTTGAAATCCTACCTGGCTATTAAAACATATAAAAAATTTTTTTTAAAAAATTTTCAAAATATGACTCGGCCAAGTTATGAGAAACAAAAAATTAAGTTTATATAGCCTAAGATACAGGCAGGTTGATTATCTTGGTTGGTTTAGTTGGGCTAGGTTTTACTATTCTAACTATTTTGATTCTAATTTTAGATTCTTTCAGATATACAAAAGCAAAAGATATAGCCAGGCTCACTATACTTGTAAAGATTACTTGATTATTATTATTATTATTAGTATTATTATAATTATTATTATTACTATTATTTAGAGGACAGAATCTAGAATGTACAATTTTAGTATACAAGATAAGGGTAGCTATCAATCTTTTAGATATAATTTGCATTTGATTGGTTAAGTTATTAAAGTTGTTCCTTAACTTTTATTGCTTCAAATCTTTTCTTTATTTCTTCTATAGTACTCTTTAGCTTCAATTTTACATATATTGATTATAGCATCTTTCAATATTAGAGGCTCTGCTACACTAAGTCAGAGAGCTATCTTAGGTCTTAAACCTTCCAAAAACATATGTACTATATATGATTAAGGCAGTTAGTATTTAGTGTCAACTTATTTTACCAGTTTTTTGAACTTATAAGTATAGAAATCAATTCTCTCATTTTCTTGTTAAGTCAGAGCATTGAGATCAACCTGCTACTTATGTTATTATTTGGGGTAGCAAAGTACTAAATAAAGTGATGCATGAAGCTTGCTTCTAGATCATCTTCACTATTCCAAAATTCTAGGTTGGTTTTAATTCTATCATACTAGTTTGTAGCAATACTTTGTAAGTTTTCAAAAACTGTCTTAACCTTTTTTTTAGAAGTCTAGTTGTTCGCATCTGCTACACAATCAAATATTTCAACTCATTCAAGAGAGTTTTCTTACTCATTTCTATAAAATAGTTTTACTTTTACTAAGCTAGTTTTTCTTTTAGGGGCTCTTGCAGCAAGAGCAACTCCAGTAGTGGTATCTCTGAAGGCATTCACTATTTCTCTTAAAACTGTATATAGAGATTCCTGGTTTGGGTTTTTATTATTAAGAGTATTATTTTTTACATACAATAGGTAGTGATTAACAGGTGTTCTGCTACAATCGCTATTTATTATCCATTTATCATTAATGGGTGTTCTATTTTGATTGCTATAGATTGTCTATTCATTTTTTTGGTTGAAGTAAGAATTATTTTCAACATTTTGTTAACTAATAACAAGGGATTTTTTTTTCTTCTGTCTTATTTAATTATTATAGCTTTATTGTTTATTTTAAAAGGTTAAATTGAAGCTATTTCAAGATCTATTTATACTGACTTTGGAATTTATTTGCTAATTAGTTTGTTACTTTAAGCTGTTGTAATAATTTCACATATGAAAAAAAAAACACTAATTTCTTCAAGATCGATTGGATAAGTATCCTCTCTCTTTTCTCTTCTCTTTTTTTTTTTCAAACTTGGACTTGGTATAGTGCTTGGCACAATCAAACAAAAACTTGATAGTCAAATACTTGTTAATATTTGTGATTAAGTTAGACATCAAATGATTGCAGATTAACCAACAGTATATATTTAGCTTTGGTCAATCTGACACCTGATTTAAGCATAAGTATTAACAAGTATTTGACTGTCAAATTTTTGTTTGATTGTGCTGAGCACTAACTTGGTATATCAGTTCTAAAACTTCCTAATACAAAAAAATTATACACAATATAAACATGGTTTGTTGGTCTAGTATATAATAATTGTCAAAAAGAATGCAAGATAGTATACAACCCAAAAAATTCTGTTTTTTTTTTTTTTTTAGCAGGGGTATTTAATATTGCTACGGATTTGCTTACTATACTAAAAACATTTGGGATTATCATATCTCACAGTACAACACCAACTTGTTACAGGTGGTTTAGTCAAGGTTATACTAATATAAGAAGAAAATCTATCACTATTGCATAATGTTACTCAAGAGTAGTGTTCGGCACAATCAAACAAAAATTTGACAGTCAAATACTTGTTAATACTTGTGATTATGTCAGACATCAAATGATTGCAGATTAACCAATAGTATATATTTAGCTTTGGCTAATCTGCAATCGTTTGACATCCGATTTAAACATAAGTATTAACAAGTATTTGACTGTCAAATTTTTGTTTGATTGTGCCGAGCACTACTCAAGAGTAGAAGCGAGGTGGGTTTGATTTGGCAAGGTCTAAGGCTACTTCGAGTCTCATTACAGGATAAGTAGGTGTTGGTTTTTATGTACTGTAGTATTGAGGGCTTTAATTAATGAATTTTTTATTTTTATTTTATTTTTTTTAATTTTTTTTTTGCTTTACTTTATTAAAAATGTTTGTAGGGCATTTTTCTTCTTGCCCTTTTTACAGAAGAATTCTCTCTGTATTTATAAAGAATTACTGCAAAAATAAGAAGGAGAATTCAAATGCTTCTAATTCTATTTTTCTCACTGTCAAAGCCATTTTGCCCAATTTGACTAATACTTTCCCTCCTTATACAACTCAGCCTTCATTCTGATAGTGTTTTTCATTGAGTTTTACTTCTCAATGACACGGTCAACACCCAACAATTGACGCCGCACTTACGCGGCCACACACCATACATGACAAGGTAATATTACCTTGACAGCTGTCAACCAAATCAGGTAGGTGGCTCTTCTCTATGGGATCGGCGTTACTAACCCAGTTGAGAAACTTGGATCCAACGGGTTTGTTGTAGGGAGATCGGCATTCGATTCTTCCTGGTCACGGGCATCGTTGTACGACGGCTTTTTCGTACGACATCACGGTTGCCGCGTTGGTCTTGTAAGGCCTAGGGTCGGGTTTGCATCTAACAATATGAAGTTAGGTGTGCTTACTTCGTTTTCTGAAAATTCAACAAGATTCGTTGAGTAGCTAAACATAAGCATGAAATTGATAAAGGTATAAAACAATGTATAATGATACGAGGGATAGGTTTTTTGAAAAGACTATTAAGAGGACTATAATAAGCTTATTGTAAATTACAAAATGAGATGCCAGAGTTGTGCCATTCCAAAAGTTTTAAATCTACTTTCTATATTATCCTTAGAAGTCTGCAGTTGTTTAGTGCTGGCAACGTAACTTCTGCTATAGCCATTGATGAAGGTCTCATAAGCCAACCTATTATCTCCTATAAAAAAAAAAAAGTAACTTTAGTCGTAATTAAAGCTCAGAAACACGTAACGATAAAGAATTGTTCTAATGTCGGTTATAAAAAAAAAATGTAGCTAACGTGTAGATAATCATATGATAAAATATCAAAAGTAACTTTATAATTAACTCTGTATAATAATATCGAACTTCTTTTTTGATTGAAAGAGTTATTACCCCATAAAGAACTATGAAAACATTTTCATTGTAAGAATCTACAAATATTAAATTTTTTTATAATTGAATTGCTGTCTAATTATTATGACATATCGATAGAAATGCAAAGTATTTCGCAGTATCTTAATTTCTAAGTTCTACTACAGATATACTGTAGATAAATTATTGAAGTATATTACAGTATTATGAACTAAACCAATTTTGGAGAAATTGTCGAAGATATTTATTTCAGTAAATTATTATATTAAAGAAGTTTAACTTCTTCGTTATCGTTATTGATGGAAATTTTTACATTATGAAAATAAATCTTAATTAATTGTAGTATTTAAATTCAACTTTTTATCTTCCGTGATCAAATAAAAGCTAAAATTATATTGATTAAGCATATAAAAACATTATTAAACATCGATCTATCACTATTGTCTTTATATATTATAATCTTTATGATTATAAATCTTTTTACTAATATAATTATAAATCTATTTCATAACATCCTATTATCCTATTTATTAAATTATCCATATTATAATCTATATCTCCAAGAAAATTTGAATTTTTTATACAGTATTGTTAATTTAATAATCTGTTAAAATTATAACATAAATATTCTTTTTACAATCCTAAATTTAATATAAATAATGCAATTTTGAAATTACTAAAATATTTATATTACTGGGTCTATCCGGAAAATGTGTACCAAATTGGAGCTTTGATGACTGAATAGTGTTAAATTACCGATGATATAGATCAAAATAATGACACTTTTAATATTGATATTATAATTATAAACCGTGGCAAAAATTTTTTTTTGCAAGTGATAGCAGCCAAAAGACTTTAATCTTGCGCTCTTATTAAGGTGCAAAATCATATACTTGGTCCTTTGATTATTACATGATATTCAATGAATATTCACGGATTCTCTTACGAAATCCATATAAAATCCGGATATTCATTCGTGAATAATTAAAGCCCGTGAATATTTATTGAATATTCATGATCAAAAATGAATATTACACAAAAATTCGTGGATAGTCAAGTCAAGAATTAGATCAAGAGTATTCCGAATATATGGCTGAAATGACCAATATTTGTAAATATTTATTGAATAACCATGATGGACATTCAAAGGAACCTACCTCAAGTTTCCAGTGCAATGTGCAGTAAAACGACGTACTGTATGATTTTGTAGACTATATTATTTTCCAGGTTTGTTTTTTAACTCACTTTAAATCTATTTAAGATGTATTATTTAACTTTCTAAACATCCACAATACGTCTTGTGTGAGGGTTTCTTATTATGAACGTTCGAATTTGATGGCTAATAGGGATGTTACGGTCCGGTCCGGTCTTGGTCCTCATAGGAGGACATTCGTCTGATTGGCTGATGTAAATCAATTGCCCGGGTAACTTATTTATACACTTTAAAGTAC